CTTTAACTAATTAGAAAACCCTACAAGCAATCATTTTTAGTTTAATTTAGCTTATCAATAACATAAATATTAGAAGTAATATCCAAACAAAAGATGATTGGAAGAGCAATTAAGAGCACTACACATCTCTAGTTTAGATAGGAATTCAATTCCCACTTCTAGCTCCCTGTGGATTCGATCCCGACCATCTCGGGGTAAAAGCTACTTCGACCGCTCTCGCCACTTTGTAGTGGTGTAGGGTTGGCTCCGATCACGCGTCGAAACTTTTGCCTACCCATGTGATGATAACCTAAGCGTGCTCCTAACGATTATAGGCAAGTAACAAAGTAATAGACAATTAAAAGCTCAATTTCATAAACTTTAGCACCCGAACCCCTTTAGTCTAATTTGACGTGGTTCAGTTGATGAATAGCAACCCAATTTCTATACTATGATAAAATCATGTTTAGATATAACCAATTCGAGTGAACATACGAGCAGATAACTAAGTGAGCAAATTCAAAACTATGAAGAACAACTACGCAAACAAGGGATCATATCACCGAACAAACAATTAACATTAAGCTGGAATAAAATGAGTAGAGGAAGGAAGAATTGGACCTCAATTGATATTGTTGAACACAAAAACCCAATAGGATGGACGATCTTAGACCGGATTCTTGCACGGCAGTGAAATCAAAACTAACGAACGTCAACCTCAATTGGGCAACAATCGAACTCCAACATTGAGACTACCAACAGCAAACCAATCTCGAATTTCAACTAAACTAGTTTCAACAGCTTAGGGATGCAGAGAGGAACTGATAATTAAACATAAGAGAGAACCAAGCTCCTAGGTCGATGCAAGAGCTGACTATGGAATCTATACAAATTGATTCCAAAGGCATGTATTGGCAAAAACGGATCACTCTGTTTGATTTAGAAACAAATACATTGTGAAACTTAGCAGCTACAGTAACTAAATAAAATGATGATTCCGGAACTGAAAATTTCAATCGGAAAACCTCAAATGAAAGTAATGAAACACGACCTTTCACCTCAAAGACACCCCAATCATATGAACTCGATCTGACCTCAAATTTAATCGGATTCATAGTTAAAAACCAAAAATCAGATAAGGGAAGGTGGAAATCAAAACCAAAACCTTGAAACTTTCAGCCCTCTCTACCCGAATTCTTCTATCCGATTTTCTGTCTCTCTTTTTCTGCTTTTGCGTCCGTGTGTGTGTGCATGTATATCTCTGTGCTTCTGTGCGTGTGTGTTCCGGAGGGGTCTGTTGGTTTGGTCTTGATGGAGAAGAAAGGGAAGCCCCGCCGATTGGGGGTCTCTTTTATGTTCTCTGCGGTTCCTCCAAGACTAGATTAGGGGTCCTCCTTTAGGGTTATTTTAATTAAGGTATAAGAGGGGAATGGGTAAATAGGCCTAGATTTGGAAAATTGGGTTGGACCATGTCTTTTGGGTTTGAATTTATGCTAAGAAGACCAATAATACAATGTATCTATACAGTGTAAAAATCACTCTTAATTAATATAAATTAATATAAAACTAAATACTAAAAGTGAAACTATTTTTTGTATTTTCAAGTTTTATGTAAGGTAGATAAATTAGAAGTAATTAGCTAAACAAAAGGAAATATTTTTGTAATTTTTATTTTTGTGATAAAATAGGTAAAAGAGCCGAAACTATTTAGAATAGCGATACTAAACCTAAACTAAATATTTACGCTAAAATGTGTAAAATCTTGGGGAGGGTCAAAAATTACATATCTACAATAGGTTGTTGAATGATACAAAGCTGCTCCTTGAAGACTAAAGAGCTCTTGCCAGAATTTGATGAGAAAATAGTATCTCTATCAGTTACTATAGTCTGTGGTAGTCCATGAAATGTGTAAACATGCTCCATAAAAAGCTGACTACCATTTCAGCAGTAAAAGGATGTTTCAACGTCATGAAGTAATCATACTTGCTCAAACTATCCACCACCACTAAAACAGTGGTCTTTCCAAAAGAATTTGGCAATCCCTCCACAAAATCCATACTGATGTCTTGCCATACTTTTTCGGGAATAGGGAGTGGCTGTAAAAGACCAGGTGTAGCCACAGTTTCACCTTTATTCTTTTGACACACTTCACATTCTTGCACATGCTTGTAAACATCTAGTTTCATGTCTTTCCAGTAGTAAATATGTTTAAGCCTCTGTAAGGTCCCCAATATGCCTGAATGTCCACCAATAGCACTGCCATGATACAATTGAAGAAGATGTTACCTGAGAGCATGATCCTTCCCGACCATAATCATTCCTTTTCTATACAATATTTTATCTCTATATAGATAACCAGGTTTACTATTAGCATTTTGCTGGAACTCTGCAATCAGCTTAGAGTTATATGAATCCTGAAGTTGTTGTACTAACTGATCAGTCACAAACGATACTACTTGTAGACTACCAATCATGTTAGCTACTCTGGATAAAGCGTCTGCCACAAGATTCTCCTTCTCTTTATTATACACAATGGTGAAATCATATCCCAATAACTTGGCTATCCACCTCTATTGACTAGGGATAGAAATTTTCTGCTCCATCAAGTATTTCAGACTTTGATGATCAGTTTTGATCATAAAATGCCTTCCAACCAGGTAGTGTCTCCATTTCTGAACTGCAGCAACTATTGCCATCATTTTCTTCTCGTGTACTGATAGTTTAATATGCTGAGATCCCAAGGCCTTAATGAAAAATGCCAGAGGATGGCATGTCTGCATCAATACTGCTCCAATACCATCTCCATAAGCATCAAATTCAATAGTGAATTCATCAGCAAAATTTGGTAGGGCTAACACAGGATGGGCAGACATGATATTTTTCAGTTCATAGAATGCCTGCTCGGCTACTTTTGTCCACTAAAAGGATCCTTTCTTCAATAACTCATTCAAAGGCCTAGCTAACAATTCATAGCCCTTAATGAATCTTCTATAGTACCCTGTTAGTCCCAAAAATTCTCTCAGCTCTTTGACAGAATTAGGAGCTATCCACTTCCTCATAACTTCTAACTTCTTTGGATCTGTAGCCACCCCAGTCCCACTGATAATATGACCCAAGTATCACCTCTCTCTCCCCAAAAGAACATTTGCTCATCTTCACATATAAGCTGTTGATTTTCAGAATTTGAAAAGTTGTCTCCAAATGGGCCAGGTGACTGGACCAACACAGACTACAGATAAGGATATCATCAAAGAAAACTAAGATGAATTTCCTCAAATGTGAATGGAAAGTATGGTTCATTAAACTTTGAAAAGTGGAAGGGCATTTGTGAGACCAAAAGGCATTATAAAAAACTCATAATGACCATAGTGTTATCGGAATGCAGTTTTCTCAATATCGACGGGATACATTCTAATTTGATGGTATCCGGACCTAAGATCCAGTTTAGAAAAAAAATTTGCTCCACCTAGTTCATCCAACAACTCTTCATTTACTGGGATGGAAAATTTATCTTTCACTATCCCTTTGTTTAATTCCCTATAAGCAATGCACATCCTCCAAGACCTATCTTTCTTCTTAACCATCACAATATGAGAGGAATAGGGACTCACACTAGGCCTAATAACCCCAGATTGCAGTAACTCTTTTATCATTTTCTCTATTTTATCTTTTTGGGTGGCAATGTATCTATAGGGCCTCACATTAATGGGAGAACCCCCATCTTTCAATACAATTTTGTGGTCATGTCTCCTATGAGGTGGCAATTCACCAGGAACATCAAAAATATGAGAATACTTATCAAGTAATTGCTGTAAATCAGATGGTAAATTCTTACCATTTCCATTCAACTGCATTTCTGATAAATTCAGTTCTGAACAGTTGTGTGCTTCACAAAGGTCATTGTCATCATACTTAGTTGGGCACTTTTATTCAACAATTTTTGCATCTTTTCACCATTGATCACTTTAGAATCTCCCCGTTTCAATTTATTTGAACCAATTTTCTTTTTAATCGGTGTAAAAAAGAATGACTCATTTTCATATTTGGAAATAATTTATCTTTATACAATAATTTGTAGCCACACAAAATATATGTGCCTCATTTTATACCACAAATTAAAAAAAATTCTTAAATAACGTGCTCAGTCAAATATGTTCACATAAATTAAAAGAGATGATAGTTATTTATAGACAACGTTCTATGTTTTAGTGTGGGTATGAATAATGAATAACCACAAGAAGAGTTCATAGGGAATACAAAGGTACAGATGAAGTGCGACAATAGCATTTTTAGGACCGTTATTTAAAGAATAGTTAAAATTTATAAAATATTTAACGCTTAGACGCTTAGCCTCCTCAAAATCAAACTTCAGACTCAAATTACGGTATGAAGTTTTCAAATGTCAAACATTTTGGTAACAATTTTCAGGAGGAGAAGCAGTCTAAAATTTACAAAATCTAACTAAATCGTATATAATTATTAAAAATTAGATATATTTCAAACAATATCCTTAAAATCGATTACCTGGTGCCATTTCGAATTTTTATTTTACATATTTGGCCACTCATCCAAAAGTATTTTGCAGCCCTTAGTCAATATACATCTGCCGAATTTTTTTATACATATTATCTAATGTGAATTCTATTCAGTTGGGCTGATGAATTTTAGAATCCGAATTACTTGAAAAAAGGAAGAACAACAATAACGATTTAGTGAAATAGCACCAGGAGAGTATAAGAAAGGCTATTTCCGACGGAGCACTTGAAAAAAGAGAAAAAAATCAAAAAAAGAAGTGAGAAGCGCGTGGGAAGCAAACGTTGCAGAGGCCGTTTTCTTTTTGTTTGTTTATAGGGATAGAGGGGGAGGGGGGTCCCCTATTAATCTCATTCGCCTTCACAATCTGTAAAATCACACCTTCATAATCTGACATCAATGGCTACAACACAAATACTATATACTATTATTATTTCTTATTCTTTTCACTCCTCTTATTTTTATGTCATTTTTTAGTGCTNCCCCCCCCCCCCCCTCCAAAACTTGCCTCCTCCTTGGCTTCTTCACTGGCCCTTTCACGCGCGCACACACACACACAAAAAAAATATAACAATGTCGTTCTTGTTTTGAGTTTTTCTTGATCTCAAAAAGTTGCTATTTTTTTACCTGCATTGTTTCGTTTTGGGTCGCCACACGATTTAATAGTAAATGGGTTTTATTGTTTGCTTCTGAGAATGAGAAATTTTGATGGTACTGGAATTTCTGCTATGGAGTCTACGTTATCAGGTACTAAGGGTTTTTCTTCTTCTTCCTATTGACTAATTGTTTTATGGTTTATTTTTGTCTGTTTTATCAGGCTAATGGTGGGGTGTTTTTATTATTATTTTTATGTTCTTTTAGTTGGACTTGGTATGCTCTTTTTCTTAAATCATTTTTTTGTGCATTGTTATTTTTGTTTATGTATGATCAATTCCTTAAAAAGTTTTATACTTGGCAATATAAGTTGTGTTTTAGACTACTGTGTAACTAGCTAGGAAAAATCTCCTCTGTGTTTTAAGTAGTAATTGAAGAAATAACCGCCTTTGATGCTTAAAAATGTACACTTTTTTATTATTTTTCTTATTTCTGATGCAACATAAGTTTGAGCATCTTAGGCAGAGGCTGTTCCCATAACAACAGATAGAAGCATGCAATATTATGTTAATTGAAAAATGGTATTTTATTTCGATTAGCAGGTTATTCGAGAAACATTTAGAAACAAGAATGAATCAAGCAGAAAGTAAACTGAGGTGTTGATGGGGCAGATTAATGACATTTGATCCTTGGGTAAAAAGAGGGGTATTTGGTGGAGAACTACAGAGATCTCAGTTCTCTTGATCACCTATGAGCGATAGAGATTGTCTAGTAGAGGAAATTTCTTTTAATATGGTGTTAGCTAAGGTGCATTATTAGCAATTGGACTTCTGAACATAGGACATCGTATGGCGTATGCTAACTTTTGTCATTTTTTAATAGCAAGTTAAAAACTTCTGGCTTGGCATTGTGGGGACTGGGCAGTTTAGTAGTTAATTCCTTATATAGTTTGATATCATGCTTCTTTAACA